AAAGAGGGGTGAAAATACTTCAAAGATTGAAGCATATTCCCTTCTCGAAGTTCTGAGTCAATAGAAGATGAATTGTTGTTTGGATACGAGTTATCTCCTATTTTTGTTGTTGCTGTTTCTCATTCCACTTGGTTGACAACAGATCCCAGGGACTGTCAATGGACCCATGTGTTCAAACAATGAGGCTACATTTATGGTAGTTGGGATAAACCTTGTATGGAGTAAAAAGCTTGAAATAGAGAGTACACACTTGTTCCAAAAAAAAGCAACAGAACGTATCCACCCTTTTCAATTCTTGTCTTAGCATGTAAGAAATGTTTCTTGAAAATGTCTGAAATTTTTCTTCTTCTCCTCGAGTCATCTTCTTCAAATTTATGTGTTTTCGAAAGATGTAACAGATAACATAGCTAAGAAATCATATCCCTTTGTTAACAGCTCTCCATAATCAATGCAATACATGATAGCAACGAGAAAGAATTTTCAATCAGCCTTCTGAAAACCCACAACAGCAATAATAAATTCCTTTTATAGCAAATTTTTCAAATTATTTCAATAAAAACTTCCAGAATTTATTATTAATATTTTTAATCTCCACCTTGACTTTATTTATTGATTTATTATTTTTGTATTTTATTTACTTATTATTTTATTTATTTCATTTTTTATTTCATTTATCATTTATTTTATTTGGCCTTACTCCTTACCTATTTACTTACATATTTTAGTTATATTTTGAAAATTTTTTACTTCCACATGAAAAAATCTATATATATATATCTTTTTTATTTTCAAATGAATAAAAAAAATTTTTAAATATACCTTGTAGAAAAATATTCTTATATTTCAGCACTCTTCCTGCAATAAACATTTATGCAAAAACTTTTTTTTGTAATATTTAATACGAAATCTCAGTTCCTATGAATGTTACAAATATGACAAGCATAACAACAAATAATGTATAAAACAAAGTATAAAATGAGAAAAATCAGAACAGAATAAACAAAATTAAAAAGATTTCTGAACATAAAATTCAGAAAACTTTTCTTCCTCAAGTCATCATCCATTTAATTAATTATGTATGTTTTATATCTTAGGAAAATATTCTTGATTACATTTTAGATTGATAAAAATGCAAATTTTGAATGAAATAATACTTTCTCAGTTACGGCAACTCCTGGGAATAAGCAAGTTTAAAAAAAAAAAAAATTCGCCCGAACAGGGATCTCCGAACCTCTGGACCGTTAGGTTAAAAGCCTAACGCCTCTACCGACTGAGCTATCCGGCTCTGTAGTGTAATTCTACTAATATTTTATGTCATCACAAACAGATTCTATTCAGTTGTGATAAGATAATGTTCAGAAAATGAAACGATTTTAATAGATAAGCAGCATAGAAATTATACAATAGTAATAAAATAGAGAGTGCTTCTCAATGCGGAAGTGAACAGAATTTTGAGGTTAACATCTACCGTCCTTTTCATCCTGTAGAATTCGGCGTTTTATCGCCTTTCTCGTTCCTTTCCCCCACATATTTTCGAAGGCAGTTATACATTTTCGTATTAATATTCATATATTTATTTAACCAAAACTGTACAACTGGTTAACACACAGATAAATTCTTGTAGTAAAAATAAATAATTAAACAAATTAATATATAATAATAACAAACAGAATTACAATAACTGGTAATACTAACTTATTACCACAATAAATGGCGAGGTATCTATCAAAATAATCCATTTATTATAGTAAACATTTTTTAACAACAGAAACAACATTTTTTTAAAACATTGAATTTACATTGATTTGTATACGATTTATTACTACGATTACTATAAGTAGAATATTACCATGTGATTTAGAGTATTTATTTTCTTTTAATTTATTTATTTCTTTTTTATTATTTATTACGTCATCATATTGGTACTTCTTGCAAGATAAGGGTAGTAGCATTTGCTAAAAACTGTGGAAAAAAATTAGATTTGCAAAATTGTAACATGATAATATTTTTTTAACCGCATAAAAATTATACATATTCCTATGAATGATGTCTGTTGTAAAATGAATTGCTGAAGTATTACTTTAGAGTGTAATAGTTCTTAAAAAGTAATCAAACGGCTCCTTGGTGGTAGTAAAAAAATTTGAGAATAACCCCATTTTAACTCCTTTTTTATTTTCACCTTAAAAGTTAGCCTTTCTAATCATAGATTGTTTATTTTTTTTTACTAAAATTTTTCGTTGTTCTAAGTACTACTACAATCACTTTTAGTCAATTTTAATTCTTATAAATATTTGCTCATAATTTTTCAATGACTGTTTATTGTGCTTGTTTAGTAATGCAGGTTCCATGTATGCTTTTGTCATTTTTCTTTCTTTCCCCCTTCTGAGAAGATCATTTTATCCAAATTGTTAATCTAAAAAGGGTCAAACCAAACAAACAAGGCGGAACCAAACAAAGTTGAAGAACCACTGATCTTCTTGGTGAAGCAAAAAGGCCCAGGGTGGGGCCAAGGTCGCCCGCTGACTGGCAGATTTCCGAGATAGGGATGTTTTCTTACAGGATGGGTTGTCAACCCTACGCTCGAAAAGTCATATTAGACGCGACTTCCTGTTAAAATCGATTGCGAGCTACTACAAACATCTAGGCACCACCGGAATATGAAACCGAAATCTGTACTGTTCACTGAGCGCTAGAGGAGAACCACTCGGCCGTCAGGCCTCTAACTACTCCACAGTGCGATCTGCGTCTACAGGCCTCCAACCAATGATCTGAGTCTACATATTCTGTAAACTATGTCTACAGATGGCAATCCTAACATGTACCGAACGAATGCAACAATGCCATAAAAGATTAGTTGAGTACACAAAATTGAAAAGGCAGAAAATCTATCTCGCAAACTGTGAATAGCCACTCTCAAATTGATTTCACTTACGCGGGTTTTGAAGAATTATACCAACTCTTTAAGAACCGGATAATACCAGGGCAGGAACGACAGGAGGTCCTTTCACTCAAAATGTACGTACTTATTTGTAAGTGTTTCCATTTATATAAGTTAAACGCTTTAAAATGGAGGAGGAAAGATTCAAAAAAGTATGAATAAGGAGATGGATAGAGGGAGGGGGATAGAAAAATCAAAGGGAATAAGTTTTCAACACTGAGGATGAGTTCACTATTTGAAAATATTTGACCAGGTGTTATGGACGGCTAATATTTTAATAATTTGTTGAACTTTTTAAGCAGTAATTCCAAAAGGGGTGGTACTTTCAAAAAGATTGAAGAGATCTCTTCGAAGTTCTGAGTCAATAGAAGATGAATTGTTGTTTGATGCAGAGTTATCTCCTATTTTTGTTGTTGCTGTTTCTCATTCCACTTGGTTGACAACAACATCTAGACCAAGTCAATGGACCCATGTGTTTCTCAAACAATGTGAGGCTACTTTATGGCAGTTGGGATAAACCTTATGGAGAAAAGTTGAAATAGAGAGTACACTTGTTCCAAAGCAACAGAACGAGTCCACCTTTTTTTTTTTTTTTTTCTTTGTCTCAAGCGTAAAAACATGGCAAGAAATGTTTCTGAAAAATGTCTGAAATTCTTTCTTCTTTCTCCTCGAGGTCATCTTCTTTCTCATCATTTATGTGTTTTCTGAAGATAAATAGATATAAGAAATTATTATCTTGTTAACAGTTCTTATAATCGTAACACTATAAAAGTGATGCAAATGAGAATTTTTCAATTGGCCTTTCAGAAAAACTACACAGGAATAAAATTTTTGCAGAAATAAATTTTCCGATTATTTCATTTAAAACTTAATTTATTTTATTTTTTCTTTTTTTTTATTTATTTTAATTTTTAATTTAATTTTTATTTATTGATTAATTATTTTTTTTTTTATTTTATTTTTTTATTTATTATTTTTTTTTTTATATTATTATTTTTTTTTTTTTTTTATTTTTTATTTATTTATTTTTATTATTTTAGTTATATATTAAAAAAAAATTTTTTTTTTTTATTTATTATAAAAAAAAAAAAATCTATATATATAGAGATTTTTTATAATGAATAAAAAAATTTTTTTTAAATATACCTTGTACAAAAAATATTCTTATATTTCATCATCTTCTGCAATAAACATTTATGCCAAAAACTTCTTTTTATTTTTTTTTTTATTTTATTTTATTATTATTATTATTATTTTTTTTTTTTTGTAATATTTAATACGAAATCTCAGTTCCTGGTGAATGTTACAAATATGACAAGCATAAAATGTAAAAAACAATAATGTATAAAAACAAAAGTATAAAATGAGAAAAAAAAATCGAGAAGAGAATAAACAAAAAAAAAGATTTTAAAACATAAGAAATTCAGAAAATTCTTTTCTCCTCAAGTCATCCATTTAATTAATTATGTGTTTATATCTTGGGAAAAATATTCTGATTTCATTTTAGATTGATTAAAAATGGCAACGTATGAAATACTTTTGAGTTACTATAACCTCGTCACAAACTTAAAAAAAAAAAAAAAAAAAAATTCCGACCGAACAGGGACTCGAACCCTGGACCGTTAGGTTAAAAGCCTAACGCTCTACCGACTGAGCTATCCGGGCTCGACGTAATACGTTGACACTACTTACCACAATAACATATAATAAAGTTTTTTACCTAAAAATAAATTTCTTTTTATAAAAAAAAATTATACTTAAGGACAATGAGTCCAATACATAATAACTTTTTGTCATAAATATTTCTATAAAATAAAATGGAGCATAATGATTTTTTGAAACAAATGCTCGTTAACTTTAAAGATTCTAAAACGATTTTATTAATGCTTGAAAACTTTTTTTAAGAAAATATTCCTTTTTTATTCACTAATAATTTCATTGTAAACAAGCATTTCAGGTCAAATAATTAATTATAACATAAAAAAACAATGTATTGTTTGACAGGATTTTATAATAAGATTTACTAACTTTCCCAATTGTTAAAATGAAAGAGAAAAAATTTACCAAACATATAAAACAAGTATTATTAAGGAGAAGCACCCTAAGTTCCTATAATTCAGGAATACAGGATACCTAATACAGGGAATTCGAACCCTGGAGCAATTAATTATGTGTTTTACATCTAGGAAAAAATTTTTTTCGATTTTTTTAGATTAATTAAAAACCGCAATGAATTAAAGAATTTACGTTCATTCAACCTCTTCATCTTACTTTTACAATGGGTCGATATTCAACCGAAATAAAGCATTTGATTTCGAGCATAAGATGAAATTAGAAAAAATAGTTATAATTCTAAATAATAAGGTTAACTCAAAAGATGTGTCAAAACAAATGACAGATGAAGCATTGATTTTGATTAAAGGCTACGCAATTTTGAGCTGCAACATAACTTACAGCTGCATTCGCTAATAATTCTTGTTTAAATATTTATTTACTACTATTATTATGGGACAGAAAGAGTGTTTTATATCAACTGGTTGTGGTTTTTTTTTTTTTTTTTTTAAGTTGGTTAGATGAGATTAAGATTCGGTTTTTTTAAAAGTTAATATCGATTTTTTTTTCAAATATAAAAATAATTCTTCAGGGTGTCCTTATGAAAGTACTGACTAAATTTAATTAATTTTTGAAATTAATAGGATAATAAAACAAATAAATTTATTTCCTTAATTTCCAAATCAAGATAAAGTAATATTTTTTTTTACATCTAAAGAACTTATGATCAATTATTATGGATCATAGTCTATTATAAGTTATTATTATTACGTTATCAAAATCAATAAAATAACTAATTTAGTCGTATTATATTAATATGTTTTTATACCGATTCTGTAGTAAATAAATTATCAAGTTAAAAAAATAAAGAAGTAGAATCATTAAAAAGATGTTATTATAAACAACGTCACTAATAGGGAAAAGAAGTTACCAAAATCTGTCTAAGTAAAGATTATATTTATTTCAAATTTAAACAAAATAATCTTCTAATTAAATTAGTTTTATAATTATTTTGCTGTTATATTTCTATTCTGAATTAATTACGCATGAACTTGAATGAAAAAATTCCGCCCGAACAGGGACTCGAACCCTGGACCGTTAGGTTAAAAGCCTAACGCTCTACCGACTGAGCTATCTGGGCTACGTAGAGTAATTGACAATATTTTTTATGTTATCACAAACATCTATTCAGTTGTGATAAGATAATGTCTAGAAATGAAACGATTTTAATAGATTATAAGAAAAATAGAAATTGTAAAATAGTAATAAAATAGAGAGTGCTTCTCAATGAGGAA